TTAAACAGTAAGAGTAAGCCAGATGATACTCATTGTGATTTTCAGGGTGTAAAAGGAATGCCTGGAATGGCTGGACCTCCAGGATCACCAGGACCCAAGGTACTTTATTAAAGTAACTTTTTAAAAATATTTGTATGATGTGCTATCTTAGTTCAAAAAAAATCTCTGCGTGGTCTTTATCATTGCTTTAAATTCTAATATATATTGGTAGAATTTTTCACTGTTTTATCATAATCCTGTAGGGTATCTCTTCTAAAGTAGTTGTTTTCCTTAACATGCTGGCAATAATTTGATTTCTTGTTTTGTTTTTGCATTCTTTATTGCTGCAGTATTGTTGCTTGAACCCTTCTAAATGTTGTTATTTCTTTAAGGGAGAGCCAGGAATTGGGGAAAAAGGAGAAAAGGGCATTCCTGGGTTCCCGGGCCCTCGGGTAAGGATCATTCATGAGTTTGGAGGCATTTTTCTCTCACATTTTTATAAAACTAGATCAATATTTCTGAGACCTCAGGAGTGGGACTATCTCACATAAGGACAATTTATTTTGACAACGAGAATTGTGAAATCACTAAATGTCCCAGAAAACCACTTCCATTGACATTGTTTAGATAAAACAGGCAAGCAGAAATTAGAAGAATTGGCAGGAAGTAACAGGGTTGTAGCACTCCCTGATTTGGAATTGTTAAGTTAAGTCTATTTGATAAAAGAAGGTACTGACCTCGGGGAAGTAGCTAGAAAAAAAGCATAGAATCAGGCCACAAACATCACCACACATGTCACCCATTCATAGAGTCACCTTGGAGGCCAGACCCCAGCAGGCACGGGCATTGAGTTTATTTGGCTCTAGATTTAGTACTTAATGGGACAACATCGGCTTTCATGGTAATTTTTATTACTGATAATGCATAGAACAAATATTAATCTCTAGACAAATTATATTGCAAAGATTTCAAAGATATTTATCCTAGTGCAAGCACTAAGTTAAACCAAAATACATGAGTAACAACAACAAAAATATGTCTCTATTAAAGCACTGGCGAAGACATCAACTTAAAGAAAAATAAAAGTAATGAGCAATTAAAATAGTAAATGTTATAAAGAAGTGGAATATATTTCATATTTATTTCCTTTTATTCAACTAACTTTGTCAATAAGATTAAATATCCACGGAGTCATCTCATAACGTGAAACATGATTCCTTGAACTGGCGCCTACATTTTAATTTAATTCTGTTTGTGTTGATTTTTGTGAATTTATTAGGGCGACCCAGGCTCCTATGGACCTCCAGGTTTTCCAGGATTAAAGGTAAAGGGACACCATTACGGGGTGACAAATACATTTTCATTAGTAAATGCAATTCACTGTCTTTCCAGAATTGTACCAGTGCATACATGCACTCCGTAATTGGAAAGAGAGACACATTCATTTTATGAATTACATGATTTAGCTGTGGGTGTAAAAATTAATGCAGAAAACTGATACAACCCAAAAGCAATGTGGAGATTTTGCACGGAGCCACAGTGAGCATGTGTTTTCCAAATTAAAAAAGAATGAGATAATTAGTCACCCGATCACATTTTTTATAAAAGGCATGTTTCTGGTTATTTGCAGGGGGAAACGGGACTGTTTGGAGATCCTGGACCATTTGGATTTCTTGGCCCAAAGGTAAAAAAGTGAACCTATTTGATTACCACCTAATAAAATTCTACACACAATGCAGTATGTATTACAGAATTGTACACTTGAAACCTATAGAATTTTATTAACCAATATCATACCAATAAATTTAATAAAAATATTTCAATGAATTATTCAAAAATGTAACTTTTGAAAGAGACAGAGTTCATTTTGTATATATTATTTTTATTGAGTGTTGTAATGATTACATTTTACATTTGAGCAATGATCCTTTTGAAGGTGAATGGTGATGAAAGTTTAAAAGATTCCATGGGGATCATATAGTATCATGATCAAAACCAGAAAGAGTTATAGGAGCTTTCTGCTTTCGCCACCACTGAATTTTTTTCTTTCCTTTGTAACCTCTGTGACCCCACATTCAGCACTTGCTCAGGAAAAGCCATGGTGGCATCAGGGAAATATGATTAAGGGGGACAATATTTGCTGTTAAAATAAAATGTAGACTCAGATCTTGTAGGTGAATAAAATATTTGTCCGAGAGTGCCAAGTTAGACGTTAATGCTTGTTGTATATCTACAAAACTTCATGGCTTCAGAGGTATCTAACTTATGAGTATGGAATAATTGTGTTGGAATTAAAAACATTTTTTTATTTTGTGAGAACTTTGACAGGGTATTTATGTCTATTCATAGGTAGACAGTCAGGGGCCTTTGTTCTTCCTAGAAGTCCATAAACTATTCATTTCTCTAGTCAGCCTATTATCTTTATTTCCTTTACAAATGTACTCTTGGTCCCTCTAATATTTATTTAATGACAGGAAACATGAGAAAATACTAATATTTCTAAGAAAAGTGAATGAATGAATGATTGCAGGGGGATCCCGGAGACCGTGGACACCCAGGACCGCCAGGTGTTCTGGCCACGCCACCTTTTCCGCTTAAAGGTTTGTGTTTCATTCAGTTCCTCCACTAATTATTCACAAATGGGATTGGAGTGGCCCTGACAGAAGAGTCCGGTCCAGTGTTTCCAGAGTTTGCACGCTAAGCAGGTTAAATAAGCAGGGTTGTCGGAAAAGTCATGACACATTTTTGCAACGAAAAACATAGAAAAAAATACATCATGACTTTTCCAACAACCCAATATTTGAACTTTAGCATGAATATATCATCATACAAGCACAGGTAGAGATCTGTATCTTGGTTCATTTCTATTGGCACAAGACATCAATTGTTATTTTAGTATGTAAGCACTATGCTGGGGTTTTATTATCAGGGTTTGTCAGTTGTTAATATACATATGTGTAAAACCATTTGACTAAGACCTACCGAGATGCTGCCTCCAAGAAAATGGTGGCCTATGTCAGTGACAACAATAGCGCCGCTCAAAGTTCATGTGTCTGCAGAGGAGAGGTAGATGAAGGGGCTCAGACCTAAGATAAAACATTCAAAATGTGGTGAGAAACTGCAAAACAGCCTCCTAGCTGTCCTTCAACAAGCCTCACAAAAAATAATTGTATATGAATTTTAAAATGGAGATATTACGTTTATTATAGTCACATGTCGTTATTTTTGGCAGGCCCTCGGGGAGATCCCGGACTCCCTGGACACTATGGAGAGATGGGGGCTGCTGGAGCCCCTGGTCCCCCTGGAGCCCCGGGCAGACCAGGGAAAGCCTGTCCAGGTATGACTCCACTGGCTTTTATAAGCCAGGCCTGCTACATCCTTGTCCACACCAGTGCTGCTCAGCTCCAGCTGATACTGAAATCACCTTAGGTGCGTTTCAAAAATGCTAAGGGCTGTGCCTACCCCAGACCAAGAATGTTGGATGCTCTGGGTGATGGACTTAGGCCTCTGCTAGTATTTCTAATGTACAGACAGGGTGAAGGATCACTGAACTCAAACAAATTAATCACTTACTTGGAGGAAATCCACATTCTTGGACAGCATATCAGAAACATTCAATCAAGATCTCAAGAGTGTGGAGAAGAATATGTATGCACAACAGGCTTTTCATAAGCTTATCGCATGTACATAAGATTTGGAAACTGCTACTGGGGTTAGAGAGTTTCTTCAGGTCTTTCCCACCCTCTCGGAAGGTTCTCCATATTGACATCTATTTGTCAAAATTGAGTTATTCCACCTAGGTTCCAACTGAAATTTCCTACATGCAGTGTAGAAATACAAATTATAAATTAAAGCATAAAATTTTGATTCAGCCTTAGTTAAAAATACAAACCAGCCTCTCCCCTCAAACACACAAACAAACAAACACTTTATAGCTTGTGGCAGTATTTGATGAAGAGCCTGGGAAATAGTTCTGTTGACCTAAGGACTTTGAACTCTTTCAAGTGCTGTGGTGGTTAGTATTCCCAGTAAAGTTAGGAATAGAAATTTAGAGGATATTCGCATTCTGTGAACCCAGGAGAACTGATTAAACATGTGAGGAGAAAAGTCTTGAATAAATGTAATTTATCCAGTCTGTGTCTCTTGTTATGTTTACTGAGAAGGAGTGAAATGCTTCCTGAGGTATTCAACTGTTAACTGCAAAGTTCTTGTTTAATCTTTCATGAATCTAGCTTCCACTTTGTAGGCTCTGATGGCCACAAACGTAGTAGAGTTTTGCCTAGTTCATTTAATCTTTAGATATCATAGCCTTGGCTTAATTGACCCGGGTCTGTACAAATCATATAAAGTACTCTGTTAGTCAGGAAGCATTAGACTCTGGTCTCAGATTTCTCCTTTTGGGCTTGTTTATAATAAAATACTGCTTCCAGCAGATTGAAAGCAAACCCAATGGGAGTAAGTGACACATGTGTCTAGCATATTCAAAACCAAACATAACAGGAAACCTCTTAATTCCACAAGACTTTTTTAAAAAGAATTAACCCAGTGGCTTTCAAATCTTGACTACAACCCATAGTAAGAAATAATTTTATATTGTATTGCATTTACATTACATCATACACACATATGTGTATCCACATAGGCATAAAATTGAAACAAATTTCACAAAATAATACCTTTATGGTATATGATACACTACATTTTCTATTTCATTGTTTTCTTTTGAAAAAAAATGTTGAATGCTGGCCACAATTTAATTGATTTCACGCTCTACAAATGGGTGGTCAAGGCTGACATATGCTTTACACAATAAGCCATTCTCCCTCTTGGAATTTTCCCTGGCACTGGGACAAGGCAACATCCAGGTCCGTCCAGTGACCAACTATAGAGATTCTGAGCCAGCTCTTAGGAATTGCATGAAGACAAGATGGCGACCAAGTCCACAAGAGTACACATTCATTTTGTCCTAATTACACCAACGTATGTAGCCTTTATTATACGGGCTTTATTGTGTAATCACCTGCAGTATTTACCATGAGATAAGCAGAGTTTGGGAGTCAGACACCTGTGATTAAATCACAGCCTTGCCACTTAGTATAGTGAAATAATTATGTGTTTTATACTATGGACTAAAACCTTTCCAGATTCTACTACTTATAAGTTGTGTGGTCTTGGTCATTTGTTAAACTTTTCTGTGCCTTAGTTTTCTCGTTTGCAAAATGGAGCTTTTGTTCAAGGTCAAAAGAAGCAATATGAATACAGTTCTTAGAATACAGCCTGGCATATAGTAAAGATTCACTGTATTAGCTATTATTATTATTATTATTATTATTATTATTATTACCCATATTTGGCCTAAATTTTCCATGACTTACCTATAAGGTACAAACTTTTCACAGTTGTTTGAAGAATAAAGATGATGTGTGAAAATATATGCAAAGTCCCAGCACATATGCATACAATAATGAAAACCATTATTTAACTAGCACGCTATAGTACTGATTAGTGACAGGGCTTCAGTTGTCTATTGCTGAAAAAATTATCCAAACCTAGTGGCTTAAAATAATGACAATCATTTCATTCCCTTTCACTCTTTCTGTGGTGCTGGAAATCAGGAAGGGCTCAGCTGAGCGATGGTAAATCAGGGATTTTCACACTCTGGCGGCAACGGGAATAGGCAGACTGGCCAGACATCTCCCTCCCACCTCTCTCATAGATCTCTGTCTGCACAGGACCTCTCTGTGTGGACTCTGTACTTAATTTCGGCTTCCTTACAGCTTGGGAGCTTCCAAGCAATGTGATTGCTTCTATGGTGGGTTAGGCCTCCAGTCCCCAGCATTTCAGCTCACAAGGCAGAAGCTGAATCACATTTAATAACCTAGCCTTGGAAACCGTGTGGTGTCACTCCGCCACTCTATTATTATAATTCAAACAGTCACACAAGCCTACCACAGTCAAAGGGAGGGGGACACTCGATTTCTTTTTTTTTTTTTTTTAAAGATTTTTATTGGGTAATTGGGGGGATGGGAACAGTGCTGGGGAATTAGGGGAAGGGGAACAGACAAGTTGCTGTCGTTTTTTTTTGTTCTTCAATCTAGTTGTGGAGGACGCTGCTTCACTGGCCCAAGTTGGCACCATCATCGCGCTCTTCCCTGGCCGAGGCAGATCAGTCGCCGGCTTCTGGACGGCCGCTCACTGCGGCTGCTGGCCGCTCACGCTGGCTGCTGGCTACATATGGTAGCCCATGGCAACCCACTGCCACAGGGAGTGCAGCCTATGCCGTCGCCAGCGACTCACGGCAGCCCAGCTCCAGGTTGAGCTGTTGTTCAGCATCTTAGCTGTAGAGGGCAGTGTCACTGGCCCTCATATGTGGGATCCGAACCGGGGCCCTCTGGCATCCCAAGCGAGTTCTTAACCATCGCGCCACTCGGCCGGCCCTCGATTTCTTAATAGAGGAGTGTCAAGGTGCTACAAGAATGTGAGGGACCAGAGCAACCATGGTGGCCATCTTTGAAAACCACAGTCTCCCACAGAGATTCTAGAAGCAGGCATGCTTAGGAAGACACAGTTAGGAGAAGTGTTCGCTTCCCCATGAAGGCTTTCAGCTGTCTTTTAAGTCAAAGTCACCAGGGAGAGGGAATAGGACCTCAAGGGGAAGGAGGATTCAGCTGCTGTTGCTTTACTCACTTTGACCTCTGAGCACACTGAGCATCTCATCGTTCTGTGAGCATGTGCCATTGCCAAATATCGCACTAAGCTTCTTATGTGGATTATTTTATTTAATCCTCATAACAGGCCTCTGAGGTAGATATGAGGATTAAAGAAGTTAAATCACCTACTTAAGTACCTGGAGCTGGAGAAGCAGAGGCCAGGTTCAAATCCAGCACCTCTGTGTTTCCCTACCAGCTTGGGTTGCTACGGTATTTTATGTCCTACATAGATGATCATGTGAGTCCGTATTTATTCACTAAATGTGCTAATCTGCTTATTCATATTATTTTTACCAAGTTATCAAGTTGGAGAGATTGAAAAAAAATTTTTTTATTGAATAATATATACTTATTTCTCAATAACCCTAAAGAATGGGGGAAGGTAAGAAAATCTGATTCCCAACCCTGTTTGTTTCCACTGAACGTGCTTGTTTTGTTGTAGGTGAGGCATTTTGATAACTGGGGTATTCAGTTATTTTTTTAACTACATTTTTTTTCCTTCAAAAATAAAATTCCACAGCCTAAGCAAGAATGTACTGATTTGATTTCTTCAAGAGAAAAGTTTAATCTGAAAGTGTATGTGGTTTTCATTCTTGATTTCTCTTGGAGGCATGATGGGACACCCTGGGCCACGAGGACTTCCTGGTCATCCTGGACTTCCAGGGGCAGCTGGTGTACCAGGAAGACCTGATTCTGCTCCAGGAAAACCAGGGTACCCAGGACCACCTGGGTTGCCTGGACCACCAGGGCTGCAGGGACCTCCAGGATCAGATGGTAATGTGCTTCTCATTCACATTCACTGTCATTTATGTTGAAATTTGTAATGTCATTCAGAAGATGTGACTTTCTGAATGTTTTAAAAATAGTAGTTCCTGAACCAAGTTAACTGATGGTGGACTATCATATCAATTAAAGCATATGAAATTATTTGGTGGACAATTTAAGTGTGATGACAGAATTTTGTAAATTAATATAATTTTATTTTTTAAATGTAGTTTTAATTTTTATCAGCATTATATGTGGACCTGGCTTAAGAGCCAAACAGTTCCACAAAGCCAGTTATAAAGAACTGCCATCCCCAGGCAACCCCTTCTCGTTTTCCTACTTGGATCTTTTGTTATTTGCCTCTATGTTGCCATTCAACATACTTGTATTATTATTTGTTAATTTTTCAGTTTGAGCATTGTCTTTTGACTTCCCTCTATAGAAGATGAATTTAGCCCTTTTCAGCCTCCCTCCCTACCACATATGTGCACTTTGGAAAATACAGTTATTATAGTTTTGGTTAAATAAATATTCAGTGTTTACAATGAATAGTTTTTAAGTTCTATTCTCCAGTTAAGCTACATAATACTATATACTATTGCTTTTCTAGCACATTTTGTTAACAATTGTCTAGTTTTCTTTATTTGTGTTTTTCTTTGGTTTTCAATGTACTTATTGCTAATTCAACCTCAACCCACCTAGAATCATATAAATCTCCTAATAATACATTATATAACTCATTAAATATTCTATCAATATTGTATCTTTTTTTTAAAGATTTTATTGGGGAATTGGGGAAGGGAAACAGACAAGTTGCTGTCCTTTTGTTCTTCAGTCTAGTTATGGAGGACGCTGCTTCACTGGCCCACGTTGGTATTATGATCATTGAGCTCTTCCTGGTTGAGGCAGTTGGTTTCTGGCCATTGGACAGCCACTCATGCTGGCTGCCAGCCACTCACAGTAGCTCACGGCAGCCCACTGCAGCCCCACTGCAGCCTACACCATTGCCAGCTACTCAAGGCAGCCCAGCTCCAGGTTGAGCTGTTGTTCACCATCTTAGTTGTAGAGAGCGCAGTGTCATTGGCCCATGAGGGAACTGAACCAGCGGCCCTGCTGCTCAGAGCTTGCATTCCCAAGCCAACTCTTAACCAACTGAGCCAGCCGGCTGACCCTCAATATTGTATCTTTGAATAAATCTCTCCTGGAGTTTTCTGTTTTTTGACCTGTTCAAATTAGGTCAGGTTGCATTTTTAATTTGCTGCTGAGACACTGTCTTAAGATCTTCCTTTACCATTATCCTGGGAATCAATTCCCTCTCTCTCTCTCTCTCTCTCTCTCTCTCTCTCTCTCTCTCTCTCTCTCTCTCTCTCTCTCTCTGTCTCTCTCTCTCTGTTTTTCGTAACTCATATATTTCTTTTTTTCTTTTTTTAGCTGAGGCATCCTGCCACTTGTTGGCAGCTCAGCTGCAGCTCAGCTCGGGCCAGACTCGAACCGCTGTTGCTCAGAGCTCAAACATTTGAGTGAGCTCTTAACCAACTGAGCCACTCAGCCGGCCCTCATATATTTCTTTTAATGGTTTACTCTCTCTCATTATACTTCCTGAAGAAAGGTGTAAATTTGGAGGCTCTTACTTGTCTGAGAATATCTTTATTCCATTTGTGGAATTTGATTGATAGCTTGGCTGAGTATAAAATTCTAGGCTTAGAAATATCTTTCCCTCAGGTCTTTGAAGGCATTCTCCATTGTTTTCTAGCTTCCCGTGTTGTTACTGAGAAGTTTAATAACATTGAGATATTTAATCCTTTGAAATATTTTTCTTCTCTGAAGGCTTATAGTTTTTCTTTGTTTTTGATGTCCTTAAATTTCACAATGATTGGCCTATGTGTGAGTACATTTGTATGTATTTGCAGGTTCTTAGGTGGCAGTTTCAATCCAACACAAATTCTACATTTCTGGATAATTTTCTTGAAGATATTCTCTTCTCCACTTTTTTTCCTTTTTTTTTTTTCTGGATGCTACAGATTTTTCAGAGAATCCATTGTACATGTCTCGTTTTCTCATCATTATTATTCTTCACCTTTAAATTTTCTGTAACACATTCTGGGAGATTTTCTCAACTGCATCTTCTAACTTTGCTCTTGAATTTTAAAATTTCTGCTATCATTTCTTTTCTAGTTTCCAAGGATTTAGTTGTTGCTATTATTCTTTTTTTAGTGTTTTCTTTTGCAGCAGCCTGTTCATGTTGCAAGGATGAAATGCCTTCCATCATCTGCTTTTTAAATTATGTAGTTTCTTTTAAAGTTTTCTTCTTGTTTCCTCCATTTTTGGGGGGGATGAGGGGTGGTTATCCTACTGCAGTTTTTGAGAAGGGGATCTTATGTTTCAACTGTTTCTTTAACAAATCACCTTGTTTGAGGCCTCACTGTCATTCTACTTCAGAGATACACATTTCTGAACTTTAGGAGAGATTTCTTATGTAAATTGTGTTCTTTCTTCACTTTCCTTTTCTCCACTGCCTGGGTAGAATTCAGATTTTTAGGGTCTGCTGTCTTATTACATCTTCTTGCTGTTGTTTTCTTTCCCTTTTTCTTTGTCTTGCAGGCTTATGCCTTTTAATTATATATATATATATATATATATATAT